TCCCTCCTGCCCCCCAACCCTCCCTGGCTTTCCCACTGCAGTTTGCCAATCAGTTTGAGGCAGCTCTGCCTCTGTATCTATTATTGTTCAAAAGTTTATAATGGTCTCTATTATCCATGAATGAGTGAGATCATGTGGTATTTTTCCTTCATTGACTGGCTTATTTCACTTAGCATAATGCTCTCCAGTTCCATCCATGCTGTTGCAAATGGTAAGAGTTCCTTCTTTTTTACAGCAGCATAGTATTCCATCGTGTAGATGTACCACAGTTTTCTAATCCATTCATCTACTGATGGGCACTTAGGCTGTTTCCAAATCTTAGCTATGGTGAATTGTGCTGCTATGAACATAGGGGTGCATATATCCTTTCTGATTGGTGTTTTTGGTTTCTTGGGATATATTCCTAGAAGTGGGATCACAGGGTCAAATGGGAGTTCCATTTCCAGTTTTTTGAGGAAACTCCATACTGTCTTCCATAGTGGCTGCACCAGTCTGCATTCCCACCAGCAGTGCACAAGTGTTCCTTTTTCTCCACATCCTCTCCAGCACTTGTCGTTTGTTGATTTGTTGATGATAGCCATTCTGACAGGTGTGAGATGGTACCTCATTGTTGTTTTGATTTGCATCTCTCGGATGATTAGTGACTTTGAGCATGTTTTCATATGTCTCTTGGCTTTCTGAATGTCCTCTTTTAAAAGGTGTCTATTTAGGTCCTTTGCCCATTTTTTGATTGGATTGTTTATCTTCCTTTTGTTAAGTTGTATGAGTTCCCTATAAATGTTGGAGATTAGGCCCTTATCAGATATAATGTTGGCAAATATGTTCTCCCATGTAGTGGGCTTTCTTGTTGTTTTGTTGATGGTTTCTTTTGCTGTGCAGAAACTTTTTATTTTGATGTAGTCCCATTTGTTTATTTTCTCTTTAGTTTCCAATGCCCTAGGATCTGTATCGGTGAAGAAATTGCTTCGGCATAGGTCTGAGATTTTGTTGCCTTTGGATTCTTCTAGTATTTTTATGGTTTCCGGTCGTATATTTAAGTCCTTTATCCATTTTGAGTTTATTTTTGTGTATGGTGTAAGTTGGTGGTCTAGTTTCATTTTCTTGCATGTATCTGTCCAATTTTCCCAGCACCATTTATTGAAGAGACTGTCTTGACTCCATTGTATGTTCTTGCCTCCTTTGTCAAATATTAATTGAGCGTATTGGTTGGGGCTGATTTCTGGGCTCTCTATTCTATTCCATTGATCTATATGTCTGTTCTTGTGCCAGTACCAGGCAGTTTTGAGAACAGTGGCTTTGTAATACAGCTTGATATCTGGTATTGAGATCCCACCTACTTTCTTCTTTCTCAGGATCGCTGCAGCTATTCGGGGTCGTTTTTTGTTCCAGATGAATTTTTGGAGAGTTCGTTCTAGGTCTGTGAAATATGCCGTTGGTATTTTAATGGGAAGTGCGTTGAATTTATAGATTGCTTTGGGTAGTATGGACATTTTAATGATGTTGATTCTACCAATCCAAGAACATGGTATGTTCTTCCATCTCTTTATGTCTTCCTCTATCTCTTTTTTCAACGTCCTGTAGTTTTCTGAGTAGAGGTCTTTTACCTCTTTAGTTAAGTTTATTCCTAGGTAGCTTAATTTTTTTGGTGAGATGGTAAATGGGATTGCTTTTTTAGTCTCTCTTTCTGCAAGTTCACTATTGGTGTATAGAAATGCCATAGATTTCTTGGCGTTAATTCTGTATCCTGCTACATTGCCGAATTCTTTTATTAAGTCTAATAGTTTTTTGATGGAGTCTTTAGGGTTTTTTAAGTATAATATCATGTCATCTGCAAATAAGGACAGTTTTACTTCCTCTTTTCCAATTTGGATGCCTTTTATTTCTTCTTCTTGCCTAATTGCAATGGCTAATACTTCCAGTACTATGTTGAACAGGAGTGGTGAGAGTGGGCATCCCTGTCTTGTTCCTGTTTTTAGGGGAAATGGTGTTAGTTTTTGTCCATTGAGTATGATGTTGGCTGTGGGTTTGTCATATATGGCTTTTATTATGTTGAGGTATGATCCTTCTATTCCCACCTTGCTGAGAGTTTTTATCAAAAATGGGTGTTGGATTTTGTCAAATGCTTTTTCTGCATCAATTGATATGACCATGTGGTTTTTTTCTTTCAATTTGTTTATGTGATGTATCACGTTTATTGATTTGCGGATATTGTACCATCCTTGCATCCCTGGGATAAATCCTACTTGGTCATGGTGTATGATCTTTCTGATGTACTGCTGGATCCGATTTGCTAAGATTTTGTTGAGGATTTTGGCATCTATGTTCATGAGGGATATTGGCCTGTAATTCTCTTTCATTGTGTTGTCTTTACCTGGTTTTGGTATTAGGGTGATGCTGGCTTCATAGAATGAGCTTGGAAGTGTTCCTTCCTCTTGGATTTTTTGTAGTAGTCTGAGGAGGATAGGTTTTAGTTCTTCCTTGAATGTTTGGTAAAACTCCCCTGTGAAGCCGTCTGGTCCTGGGCTTTTGTTTGCTGGAAGCTTTTTGATGACTGCTTCAATTTCTTCCATAGTTATTGGCCTATTGAGATTTTTAGATTCTTCCTGATTGAGTGCTGGAATGTTGTATTTTTCTAGGAATTTGTCCATTTCCTCCAGGTTGTCTAGTTTGTTGGAGTAGAGTTGTTCATAGTATTTTTTAACAATCATTTGTATTTCTGTGGGGTCTGTTGTTATTTCGCCTCTATCATTTCTGATTTGGTTTATTTGGGTCCTCTCTCTTTGCTTTTTGGTGAGCCTGGCTAGAGGTTTGTCGATCTTGTTTATCCTTTCAAAGAACCAGCTCTTGGTTTCATTGATTTTCTGTATTGTTTTTTTGGTCTCTATGTCATTTATTTCTGCTCTAATCTTTATTATCTCCTTCCTTCTGCTCACTCTGGGGTTTTCTTGTTGCTCTCTTTCTAATTCTTTGAGCTGTAGATTTAGATGATTTACTACCATTTTTTCTTGTTTGTTGAGGTAGGCCTGTAGAGCTATAAACTTCCCTCTCAGGACTGCTTTCATTGTGTCCCAAAGGTTTTGGATTGTTGTGTTTTCATTGTCATTAGTTTCCAGGATGTTTTTAATTTCTTCTTTGATCTCATTGGTAACCAAGTAAAAATTTTTTTGATGTAATTAAGGCTTTTACTTACAGGGCATTATTCCACAATCCCCCCTTTTTTGATTTAAATATTAGGAGACTTTTAGAGATTTTACAATGCAGTCTTGATAACTTTCAATTTCTTGTATAGAAATATGACTGCTCTGGATTTATTGCATGTTAAGCAATTTTTATATAAGATGAACCATCAATAAAAAATTATAGTTAACACTTCAGGAACAGTTTCCTATCTAGTACAATTAAATTTCTTGAATATTTATTTCAATTAGCCAATTTAAATTAATCTGAATAACATCTACTTTTATTATTTTTTTAACCTTACTTGTCCTAGGACCTAGGTTATAGGCAATAAATGATATTAATTAAACTTCTGTAATTAGTCTTTGAGTAATTTTACACTAGCTATGTTAAGGGAGGCAAAAACAACTTACTTACATTTTCACATTAGACCTAGTAACATTAATTGCAGTTCTTGAGATGTTTGAAGGAAGCCTCTTCTTTATTTACCTCCAACATATCTTTCAGGCCACTTTAGAAAATTTAAACTAAAAGGTATCTTTGGCTTTCTCTTTACACCCAACAAATTATAGGATTGTTTTCTGGATGTTAACTGCTAGTGCAGCAAGGCCATGTATTTCAAGTCCTTATTCACTCATGGTGACTGTATTGATTTTCAGATTTGGTATTTTAATAATAATCTTTAGATTATGCTATAAATATTAGTGGAAGAGATTTCAAAATTTTAAATTTCTCTTTTTATTAAATTTAGAATAATATTTTTAAACAGCATTCCCTTTCAGCTTATTTGCATATACAGAGGGATCATGGGAAGCCTTCAGTAACTTTTTTAGAAGACTTTACTAGGATTCAATTGTTTACAAAGATATTGGCTTCTCATATAACTTAAATTATATGAGACTTTGATTATGTTTTTAAAAGTTAATTTAATAAGTAATTTAAGTAGGTATTTTTATTGAAAAAGCAAAGATAGTAAATTTAGTAAACTTTTATGTCTGATTCACGAGGCACAAATGCCGCCCACCTCCAGCCTAATTTAAAATGCAAGTGGCGAGGAGCTTTTGTCTTTTAAATTACATCTTAAAATTCCACTGCTGTATTTTCAGAGATATTAAACAAAATTTGTTTAGCCCTTCTTAGAGGCCAAACCTTTCATAACATTTAAGATATAAGTAAAATATATATGATTTAAAGATTATATACTTTTTATAGTTATCTTAAAATATCAATTACTAAATTTAGACTGGTTTTAGTATTAAAAATTCGGGTTGCGCCGTAACCGGTTTGGCTCAGTGGATAGAGCGTCGGCCTGTGGACTGAAGGGTCCCAGGTTCGATTCCGGTCAAGGGCATGTACCTTGGTTGCGGGCACATCTCCAGTGGGGGGTGTGCAGGAGGCAGCTGATCGATGTTTCTCTCTCATCGATGTTTCTAACTCTCTATCTCTCTCCCTTCCTCTCTGTAAAAAAATCAATAAAATATATTTTTAAAAAAAAATTCGGGTTGGGATCACAGAATGAATCCTCTTTTTTCATTAGACCAATGAGTAACATATTTTGAACTTCTAATTTTTCAGAGAAAACAAGATTTTCTTAAAAATTAAATTTCTATACTTTAGGCATTTAGCTACTACCACAACTGTAATTTCTCCCAATTTATTCCCAAAGCTTTTAGATCTGGCAAGTCAAATATTTAGCATTTCTTTAGATTAATAACACTTTATATTCTTAAGAATAAACTTCAAAAATACAAGACACAATCAATATATTCAATTCTGTCCTCTAGATTTTTCAAGAGGCAAATTTAGATTATTGAACAAGTTTTATCATTTGATTTAGTAAACTTTACTTTTTAGTTTCTAGCAGCTCTGGAAAACCACATTTGAGCCTTGCAAAGCAGGTTTTGGCCTACCTGGTCTTTTCAGATGTAAATTGACCACATTCTTTTTTTAACATTTTGCTGCAGGCAGGAAGCAGCCCCTTCCTCTATTAGAAAGGCGTAGCTGGCTTTTTTAATTAACAAAGGGCTACTTAGATTTTTTAATTATCTATTTTTCAATAATTTTCAGATTTAAATTCAATAATTATTTTAAGGCATTTTCTTTAGCAAATTTTTGTAACAGAGAAAATATACTGAATTTCTTTTCGGCCTTGAAGTTAACTTTGGAACGCGGTTCATTAGCATTTTAAAAATTACTCTTTATTATGGAAATGCAAATCCTGTTGCTAGAACCAGCTTGCATCTTTTTTCCTTTGGTCAAATTCACCATCCTGCTTTGGGGGAAGTTTCAGCAAATGACTCAGATGGCTTATTTTTTCCCCAAGTCATGCTTAATAGAAAAAGACATATTTTAAATTTTTTCCTATTTCGCTTTCCAAAGTAGTAGCTATCACCCAAGGTTATCTTAGCCAAAATTTGGTTGTCATAAGATGTTCTCTGGTAATTTTTAAACAAAACATTAAGTAATCTCATTGTGGGAGAGCTTATAGCTCTGCCCTCTCCTGCCACCTTTGAATCTCTTTGCACCAGAGGCGGATTCAGCAGCGGGGTTTCATTTCTTATTACAGATTTTAGATTCCAAATACGAATTAAGATTTTAATTTGAACAAGAAACCACATTAAAGATGACCATGGCACTCTTTTTTCAGCCTGATTTAAAAGAGTACCTTTTAATATTCTAATTTCTTTATAATTTTGCCTTCTTATCAAAATTTTCCCCATAATAATCTAACTTAAACACAAAGTATCACCCATGCACTTGCGGATCCGCGGGCTTCCGAAGCTACTGTGTGCTACGCCCTGTTCTCATCTCATTTGATTCTGCAGTTGGTGAGTTGGCATTAGTTTTTCATGTATTTATATACAGTGGGGCCTTGACTTACAAGTTTAATTAGTTCTGCGACGGAGCTCGTAACTCAAATTACTCGTATGTCAAATCAAAAAGTGAAC